CTCTGCAGTGAGGAGTTTTCTCCGGACGATAGGTTCAGTTTCTGCTAATGAACGCTGAATCTCGGAAAACTTGGCTGATGTTCAACTCCCATTTCCTCCCACCGGCTTGAGATTATGTGAAAGACTCGTTTCCACCTCTTCGTCCTGCATGCCAGAACCGATTTCAGCCCACTTCTTTTGGAAGCGTGCAAGATAATGTCTGGTGACTACTCAAGCCACTGTCAAGGGGTATAGTAGGCCCCTCAGAACAGATCACCAGTTGTCTACCATTTTCGAGAACTTCAAGGCCATCTCGGGGGGTTACGAATGTCCTTCCTACAAGCATCCAGCTAAAATCAAACCTTTTTTGGATGGTAAGATTGCTAAGTGTGAGTGTGCCGCCATATTCACTGTATCAGTCTTTCGTCATCGATATATTTGTCATCATTGAACATTATTTTGACTTCCTTGATTAATCAACGGTGATCTGCCGGTTTCTCCTCCAAATGAGGGTGACGAATGTTCACGAAGTCCAAAACATTCTGCTTCATGGGTTGCTTTGTTTCTAAATAACCGATACTCACCGAACTTGTCCAGTATGGCATCAGTCATGTGACTAAGAACAAGTTTTCCATCATCGAACTAATGCTCACTTGATTGGCGTCACTGGGATGCAGGATTACCCCTTATTCGAGCCTACGGTGATATCATGGAATGAAAAGGTTGAAGAAACAAGTGACTGTTAGTTGTTAGGAGGGTAATTTGGATGTACTGGTTACTTTCAACGGAAATACACACTTTCAAACAAATGAAACCGGGCTCTCTTCTACTGATGCTCATGAAGCACACTAGTACGGTGGAAAGTAGTGATGAACTCCTTCGTTAGGTGGGTGTCAATAGATTGACATTTGTGATCAAGTGACTTGCTTCAGTGGTCTGGCTACCCCAAAAAGTGTCCGGGCGATTGATAGACGTGGTAACCCGTAGACTTTTCTACCAGGGCACAAGGAATTGCCCACACAATACCGGCAGCCTGTAGCCGTACAGTCAGAGGGATTGATCCTATTCTGAGAACAGGAGTGATAATTGGGTTGCGCACAAAAACGGTGGATTTAACAGTCATGGAGAAAAGTGGGTATGGGCCGTCACCAACCCATAAGTGCACTAAAAAAACGGTCACACCGAGTTTAAATGTACACTATGGGAAGAATTACACGATAATTTACGCGGTGAAATATGTTTATTGGAGCGGGCATGCGCAAGCAGCAATCAGGTGAGCAGGTTGAACTGTGTTTGCCTGTAAGAACAGAAAGGATGTGGGCATTTTAGATGTTTTGTGAGAATTAGCCTTATAATTCAACTTTGAGAATGAGCTAAACTTGACACCGTTTCCCTTTTTATCACCTATCGTTTGTGCAGTCAGATGTACATGTACAGTCCATCTGGGCGGATAAGTGCAAAGAATTAGGGTAAAAAAAGGTTCACCTATCGACAGAGGTTTGTTTTCACCCTCAACGCTGTGGCGAGTACAAATCGTGCAGTGGAAGTGTGCCATTCCTAGCATGTTCCCTTCACTTCTCCTACGAACACACAGGTACGCCCTCCAAATAGACCTATTCAGCCCCCCACTTCTTTTCAGCCTACTTTTTATTTGTCTAAGTTTTCAATTATATTATCCCTTTTATTGCCCAGTGTCCAGACTTCATTGCAGAGAACGGGAAATCACAGCAGTTGTAGATTCATTCTTGCGGGACGTAAATATCTCCCCATACCCTTACCAGTAGCGTCAGTTATGTGGTTAAACACTTAAAACCTTTGTCGAATGTTACTACACTGTTACGGCCTCTCAGACCAGTCCGCAGAAATGCTCCTTCGAATCGGCAGTAGGGCGGGACAACAGTCCGGTCTGACTGTCATCAGTTGCTACACTCACTTTAGAAATCTTTGTAAAATGGAGTACCCACGGCCCCTGATCGACCTCTTCGGGCAAATGCTACGCCAGAAAGTGAACACACGCCGCTCACCAACAACAAACACCGGTACCAACTGAGCACATTGTTGCCCTCTCATCCACCGGCTTACTCTGGCACCAGCTTTGATGGCCATATTCCTCCTCTGCAATTAATGGTATCATTATTGTTCTCCGTCGTTCCTTTTCCCTCTTCTCCACTGATTCCTTATCCACTTATAGCCACATATCGAATACCTAACACCATTGAAATCATCGCTTTCATACGGATTTGTAGTTCCGCTTATAGACAAGAACTGCAAACGTTTTGTCGATCTCATCAGTAGCTCCTTCGCTTCATAAAGTGAACCGTTTTACATTTTACGAAGAAACTTTCAAGTAAACAACCACTGCTCCCAGTGCTATACTTCAACTAACTGAAACGACTTCCGTAGCAGCCGATGGATTAAAACCAAAAGGAAGAGCACAGTATAAAGATACAGGCTTGATACCTAGTAACACTCGTACGACCATGCTGGGGGATGATCTATGGCTACTGCTGGGAATCAGCAGTAAAAATAGTTTCAACTGCCTTATAATTTCAGATATTTGTTAGGGAAACCGCATCCCACAGAGAGAGTTACTGCTAATGAGGGTGGAATCTGCTCGGAACTAGCCGAATCGTCAAATTTTAACTAATACTGTTTGTTCTCTGCTAGTGCAGAAGTTAACAACCACGAGAACTAATGATCAACAGGTTCTAGACGCGGAAGACAACCAAGCAAAAGCTTTTTAACTCACGCTAATAACTATGTGACCCGTCTGAATTTATGCAATACCAGTATGGGTTACCTGGAAGCCGGGAGAAGGGCATGGCACAAATGGAGACTCCCCAGAGAAGAGGAAGATCACGATGCATATATAGCTCCACGAAATGGAAGCGACATCAGGGTACGGGGAGACAGGAGGTCGTTCCAGTCCAACCCCGCCAAGAAGCTTGAGGTAAACCCAAGAAACCTATACCGATTCACGGCTAAGAAAATATCGACAGGCGAGGAGCATGTGTCATTGGAGGTCCAAACGGGGTAAACCTTCCTGGACGGGAGATCACCGGACTGTTAAGCCTCACATTTGGCGCAGCTCAATATCCCATCAGGAAGGTATGCATACCTACTGCCTGAACAACTTCCAACGTCATCCGATGCTACGAATTTACACGAAGTGCAGATAACTCCTACCGCTTTTCTCGACAAGGTATCAAAGCTAAGCGTGGGGAAATCCCCATGGTAAGACGACACTCGCCCATCTGTGTTGAGAAAATGTGCGAGTACCCTAAGTGGCCTACTCTACAGCCTCTTCCAACACTCCTTAGATTAACAAAAACTGTCACGAGAGTAGAAATGGGCCATCCCATCTTCAAAGGAAGAGACAGGCAGAATCCAAACTATTGTGGACCCATAGCACTCCTACCAGTAATATCAGAAGTTATGGGAAGTGTGATAGATGGCCGCATCAGGGAATATCTGGACACGAAGCAAGCACTCGGTGACGCTCAACATGGCTTCCGAAAGGGTAGGCCCCGTGTCTCCAACCTCCTGACCTCCCATGATAACTGGGCAACATGCCGGGATCTCAAGGTTCCAGTTCGCGCGATTTTTCTGGATTTCGCCGAGGCCTTTTGCGCTGTCCCGCACACCATCTCAATACATAAAATTGCTGGGTTAGGCATCCGCGGCCAGGTGCTATCGTGGGCGTAGAGCTACTTGGACGGTGGGGAGTTCTGCATAAAAGCCGACAGGGTCTATTTTACTTGGAGAACATCGTCCGGTGTCTCACAAGGAGCAATCCTAAGTCCACTGTCGTCCCCACTGTTCGTGAATGGTCTCCAGCTGCATATCAGCTCTTCGATTCACCTCTACGCTGATGACTTCAGGTCATAGGGGATAGTAACTTGCGAGGCGGAATCGAGTGCTTACAGAACGACCTCAAAACACCCGAGGAATGGGCAACGGGCCACGAACTGGCATTTTACCTGGGCAAGTGCCGGTCCATTTGTTCCCGCGCTGCTGATCCACATAAAACATCAACTGTCTCTGCATTTCACCTCTATCCTGTGCCGCAGCAGAAGTAGACTTGGGTTTAATGGTGACCGAGAAACCGGATAACAGCTCCGATTACGCTGGTGCCACCTCAGAAGCATATGGTGTACTACACTTTGTGCGCAGACAACCAAGTGCCTTCACCCAGAGCTATTTTTGAGGCTCTACAAGACTTACACACAGCCCTACCTGAAGGTCCATAACGTCTTCGCTCCGCCAAAACTGAAAAGAGGCATGAACCTACTGGAGAAAGTTCAAAGGCGAGCCACAAAAGGGGTTGTTGGGATGCGCCTAAAACCACATGAGGATCGACTAAAAGGCCTGGACCTATGCTCTCTTGGCTACCGAAAGTTAATGCGTGACTTGATAGTGGCCTAAAAATACTAAACACCCCAAGTTACCCAGACAGGTGATTACTATTGAGTGGTCACTATGGTGATCTTCTTGGAAACCCTAAGAGAGCTGGAACACGAACTAAGCAGAAAAAATCAACTGGTGTCACGCCGTTCCAACTGTGCTACCTCTACGCCAGTTTTATTTCTATTGTGAATATTCAAGCCCTTTTCATCCCTTCCACTTGCCATGAGTTAGCCTCATCTACCTAAGTTCTTTATGTCTTTGTCTTCGCCTTACTTGGGTGTAGGCAGATTACTCCATTGGTTCACTTTTCTTTTCCCTTTTGCTAACAAAAATTTACCTTTCTAGGTTTTCTATACACTATCCCTAAATCTCTGTAACGACCAGTCCGGACAGCTGTCTGGTAACTTGACATCTTAAGAAGCCAACTGCATCACTGCCTAAGGCGAACTAACCAACGCTTTAATTCCTGTTCTGTATACCGAAGTTATGGCAGACGAGTGGTCGGATCTACTTCATCGGAATGCGCCAGAGACCTGGAGCCGTTTCGCAAGACCAAGAAGCGATCAAGAAGAAATCAACTAGTTTACATAAACTCGTTGGACAGATATTGGATCCTGAATTTGCGCTTGCTAGGGATTTGTGCGGTACACCGAGCGTGGTTACCACAGCTTCAACATGGCTAGTATTGCTGGGAAACGGATACAAAAAGAATTAGCAGAATTAATGAAATCAGATGAGGTTGGTGTTTCTTCTCTATAAAATAGGCTTCAAAACTTGTTTTCCAACATTTATGCGAGGTGTACAACTGAGTTATCTGAAAAAACCCTCTCAACATTATCGTCGGGTGACTAACTATCGAAAACGTCAGTTCAAATGTGGGACCTGACGCCGGTTTTTGCGTCATTTTCCCTCCTCCTGGCCCGACGTGTTTCGGCCATACATTCAGCTCCATGTCTGACACATTTGGCTCCTACTTCTGGTCATACGCTTTCAAACATGGCCTATTATACAGACTTTCGGCTCTACATTCTGCCCCGATGGCCCTGTATGTGCTACATCTGGCCCCACATCGGATTCATGGTACCTTGCCAGGTCCTAACGTCGCCCTATTTGACCCAACAAAATTGTTGGCAAGGAAAGGCTTTTGACCAAGAACTATGGTCGTAAGATTTTGTTCCAGAAAATGTATGGGACATATGGTCCTTATAGACTGACTTGAGATGAGCTGGGACCCTTCGGACTAGGGAAAATATTGCAAAACGCTACGCGTGGCCCTACATTTGGCCCAACGAAAATGTTGAGTGGGTGTTTAACACATTTCTCCATACGCTCTTCCATTTGGCCGACACATAACTCAGAGGGCAGATTTCCGGCCCTACATTCTGCCCCAGCGGTCCAAATAACTGCAGCTCAACATTTGGCCCCACATGTGCTACATTTAACCCCGTATATGATTCATGGCCCGACGAAGTAGTTGACTAGGGGTAGTTCTGCATTTGAAAAGAGATCTTGAAGGGAATCACTACTTAAGATCTTTATTCTGAATTCTTCTGTATTATCTGAGGGTGTAATCACCAACACAGTAAGTTGGGAGTGCGTTGAAGTTTGTTTATATCATATTTCGGAGTCTGTAAGAGTACCTGGCCTGGAAACACTTCCGCAAGACCTCGATCTATGGAGTAAATTACCACTCATTTCGAGATGCATAATATGTTTCATATTTCCTTCACTAATTTTAGAATTTTCTGCATGCAAACTGTTGTTCACTATCGCAACTTGATCGGCTTCACGTGTATACTGAGTTGACAATGTTTCTGCCTAACGATAACAATGACAGAAAAAGGCGTTATTAATGTTAGGAAATGATATACCATACTACTGACTTGGACAGTTAGTGTTGAAATCCTATTCACAACTTCAATTGATTATGTTCAACTTTGTTTAAAGACCCCTAACTGATTTTTCGCTTTGCGTATGCCTGATATACTGTCCATACTCCAACTTATAATATAAAGTCCATTTAGCTTTATCACTTACTGGCATCTGTTTAAAGCACTAATCTAAACATCTCGTAGTATTTTGCATGATTATTTTATGTCAAGTTAAGAGGAATATCTCGATTAAGTTGCACAGCATTTCCAGTTATTTCGCCTGGAGTATTTACAAAGTTGGAGGATGTGATGTCTAAACGACATGAAAATGACAGCTTTTTTAATGGCCACCAGCAATGATTACCGTAAACATTTAGATATGCTGATTCTATGTTGACTGGTGCGGAGTTCTGCTTAGAATCGCATATAGATGACACCTAAATACCATCACATCGTTATAAAGTGCATATGTTTCTGCTTAATTTCCAGAAAAGTAGTGAGGTAGGATCTTGAAGGAAGGACTTCATGGGTGGCTTGTTGTAAGTGCTAACGATGAATTCTCTGTACGTTTACGCAATGAACTTCAAGTATACTACTTAGCTTTTCGTTCCTTCTTTTTCACCTCCCGAATCGTGTGCATTCTTGTCTACATTTCAGCTTCCGAAGCCTATGATTGTTGCTGCACTCTTACCGTTGTATTCAAAATATGTTCACTTCAGTACTTCCCCTACTGAGTCCTTTGCGGTTTTTGAAGAACAGTATTTATTAGACTCGTAAACCCTTTCCACTTTATTGTCGTAAGACACCTTCAGCTTTTATCTTTCTTTGATTTTCAGTTCATAAAGTCAACTGTCATTGAATGATGCATTTAAATACTGGAGTTATGTGTTAGTTTAAGAATTAGGGAGAAACATCAGAAAAAAACGCTATACTGTTTATAATTCTTAAGGTTTCTAGGCAGTCTCATTTGTCTTTTGACTTCGCACTATCCACTTTCATTGGTAATGTAAGCAGTTTTATCACGTAAGTGAATTAAAATAACTGGTGAGAAGTCTTCCTCCATTAACAGTAATCTATGTTGTTGTATCCTTAATCTAGTTCATCACCATTAAATAGCCATGAAAAACAGCAGTTTAGTGACCCACTTGTGTATCAAGGGAAACAAGCTTTTATTTGATGCCCGCATCACCACCAAAATCAACATAGGACCAGGCATTACTGCGTAACGGTCCACGTTGCTGCACCTCATATCTACACATCAAGTAACAAGGCAATAAAAGGGAAGATGAAGAAAGAAGTAGGAAATCGGTCAAAAGAAGTAGAAAGTAGTAAAAGAGGATAGAAGAATGATATAATAAGATTAAGTAAAGCGGTCAAGATGAAGATGAAAGCCAACTGAGCCTTCTGTATCCGTGCAGAGATTTCGTTGGCCACTGAGCCACTTCAGCCTCTAGTGTTAGTTAGGGTTTCGCTGAAGACTAGTCCTGAAAAAACAGTTCGCATTTGGTTGGTGGGAACCGCACCTCAAACATTCTCAAATTGCCACTTAAGGTGTCCAGAAAACTGCATTTTGCCAGCGTCTTCACCTGAAAGAACCATGTCAGCTGCATATTCTAGGTCTACCAAAATTTTTCTGGCGACTGGGTCAATCCCTCTGTGGTCAGATGAAGAGAGTAAGACCTGTATAGGAATGTTTACGAGAGAGAGTCGGCATCCTTGACGGATACCACTCGACGTAAACACCTCACTTTACATTTCATCATAGGCTCTAACACGCCTTCAATAAGGTGATGTACTTACTCGGTACCCCTTTAAGTGAGAGATTGCAATAAGGCTTCTCGATCGATGGAGTTGAATGCAACCCTCAACTCAGGAAATGCAGCTATTGTCGAGCGTCGATAAGTATGACTGCGTTCCAAAACCTGGCGCAGTGTGAATATTTGGTCGATACACCCGCGGCCAGGTCTGAAGCCTACCTGGTTTTCTTGGACTTCCTGTTTCCAAGCTTCATTCAAGCGTCTAATGATTATAAAACTTGGACTTGGAAACTATGTTCGTCGGGCTGATTCTTCTGTGGTGGCTATCACAAGAGGACTTCTCGCCTTTCTTGAAGACTGGGATAATCAGCGATTGACACTAGTCAGAAGGGCTCATATTTGACTCCGACACTAGTTAGTACTTCAGGTAACTTGGCTAAGACCACTCTACTGCCGTCCCTACATACCTCAGGAACTGGTCCGTCTGATCCTGCTCCTCTTCCTCGTTTCAAGTTACCTACCGCTCCATCCACTTTCTCAAGTGTTGGGTATCCTATCTCGATGTTCCATTCAGGATCCGACTGGATAGTGGGCAACACATTATTAGCTAGAAGCCAGTTGAACTGTTTCTTGAAGTGCTCTGTCCATCGTTCCAGTCGTCTCCCCTTCGATTGAGTCGCAGATCCGTACTTCTGCTCCAGTTCTTCCAGGAAAAGACGCCGACAAGATGCAGAGTCTTGTTGACACTTAGAGTGTCAATTTGAGAATGTTTGGGATGCGTTTCTCACCACTTAAATGCAAGTTTTTGCTCCAGGATTGGTCTTCAACGGTGCCATGGCTAACAATAGAGTGTATTGGTTGTGTGTCGACCACTTGACTTACCTGGGAAGCAGGATCAGCCCTGGTGGGTCAGTGGCCGATGAAATCTCTGCACGAATACAAAATGCTTGGTTGGCTTTTGCCAATCTACGCCACGTGTGTCGCCGCCGTGATATCCGACTGTCTATTGAGTGGCGTGTACTGCACAGCAGTTCGGTCTGTTCTACTGTATGGCTGTGAAACATGGCCATTGAAGGTGGAAGACATAAGAAGACTTCAAGTGTTTGACCACCGTTTCCCCCGTAGTATAGGCCGTATTCCGTGGTGTCACCACGTAACGCAGAAGTCAGATGTGGAGTTTTGGGGAGAAGAGGTAAATCGGTTGACGACCAAGATGGTTGGGACACGTATTACGCATGCCTAGTCGCCGATTGCCTCGTCACGCGATGTTGGTCGAAGTAAGTTCAGACTGTAAAAAAGCCTGAGGTGGCCAGATCAAAACATGGCACCAGTGTATGAAGTCTTTGACTGTTGGTTTAAGCCATGTAGCGGGCTGGTGCAGACCAGGTAGTTGGGGTCCGCGGGACAAGAGGAACCAGTAGCTGAAGACTCTAGGTGACATGGCTCATAACCGGTGTCAGTGGCGCAGATGTATACACACATTATCCTCATCTTAACGCTTTGCAAGATCTCGCCATTTTTTCATTCTTCCTTTTTCTCTTTCCGTGCTTCATATTTTTTTGGGACTGAATTTTCTCTTTCTTCTTCATCTCCAACTTCACTGCCTTTTTACCTGATGTACTGATATGAGCTGTGGCAACTCGGACCTTTGCGCAGTAATCCCTGGTCCGATGTTGATCAGGATGATGATGAGCCGATAAGATTTCACAAGCTCACCAGCTGACTTACCTCTTTTTCCAAGACCTCAGCTAGCTTTTATTCCTGTCACTCAGGGTTTCATGACACATGGAACGTATCACGGAAGTAACTGGTTGAACACCTGGAGGTTGATGTCCTTCACCTCTAATCAACATACTTTGGAACCTTAAAACAGTATTGAGTGAACTCTATAGTGCGCGACCCTTAATAATCGTCTGATACTTAGGGCCTATGAAACGCTTCTCTGTTTTGGGTTTTTTCCGGTGCTCAAAATCTCAGGTACATCTGACATCACAGGAATTAGTCTACTTCCTGGAAGTCATCTGGCTGACTTGGCGTAAGCAGACGATATTGTCCTGCTCAGGGAAGACGCTGGGAAAACAAGGTCTCCTGAACATGTTGAGCAGAAATCTGAGCATTTTTGGCATGGGTTTCGACCTGTTAAATATACGACGACTGGTCTGCAACACCTCCCAGTTTAATGACTGTGAGTGAAGTAATGAAATATGTCGACCACTTCGTTTACTTAGGAATTTGCATCTGCACTAATGATCAGGTTGTTGGCAAAATATCATCTCGGGCACAGGACAGTTCGGCGTTTGTCAAATATCTTCATCTGTGGCGGCGATGGGCAAGATATCTGACTGTCTATCAAAAGACGTGTATACTACCCTGCAGTTCATTCTGTCCTGTCGTAAGGCTGGGAGACATGGCCGTTAAAAGTGGTTACAGGTGTCTGATTAAATGTTTTCGTAGCTTTGCTGACGTTTGGTGAAATCGTGGTGTGTACAATGTTGAAGTCGTGCGAGGGCACTAGGGAAGACAGGCAAGTCGATTGGCGAGGTTATTAACCTTAGTCGACTGAGTTGGCTTTCACATGTACTGCGCATGCCAAGCCATTGCCTACGTGGACATTCAAACCTAGTTGCAAGTAATTATCCGTTGTTTTCCTTCGTTGCATGTGTCATGTTATTTTGAAATGCTTTTTAAAATTTTAGGCAGCACAAAATCAATTAGAAATAAAACCCAGTGGTGATGACATCATGCATTTACATGGTCTCATCAAAGGTCCTCCAGATACTCCCTATGTTGGCGCAGAGTTCCATTTAGATATTGTCATCCCTGAAAATTATCCTTTTGTTCCTCCAAAGGTAGTTTGTTTAGTAAATTAATTGTTTCTCACTCAGGTCAAATTTATTACCAAAATTTGGCACCCTAATATTAGCAGTGCTACAGGTGTAATATGTCTTGATGTACTGAAGGACCAGTGGTAGGTGTATTTATTTTTCTTCATATATGCTAGACTTGTTTTCTTTTCCCATTTAATTTTTAATCATTTGACTTTGTTCATGATTTATACTAGTCTTATCAATAAGGCGCTAATAATATTATCCCCTCTGCTGGTGCCCTGACCGACAGCGGCTACCTAGACGTGGCAGTTAGCCTTGCATATCACAATGGCCTAACGAGGCGTGCTGGTTGAACAATTCTTCTGCCGAGACCTTACCATACCAGAAAGGTTAGTTGGATAATGCTGAGACAAAAAGTAGTTGTCGTTATAGTGTAACCACGTGCACTACATTGGGGTTTTAATGCTAGCTGGACGGTGATGTGACAACAATGTGTTTCCTGAAGATAATCAATAATCCCGCTCTGATGCTACCTTCGCTATGCTCAAGGGAGGTTGGGAATGGTTGGCCTTAAAAATAATACACTAGCTCCTACCATGCAATACACCAATGACGGTATAAGTTTATATATAGATTCGGGAAAAACAAACTAAATTTTCCAACTTCTAAAGAAATTGGTTGTGATTGGTCTCAACCACATATCACGTAGGCTTCGCTGTTACGTACGATTAACCCCAGTTATTCTTCAGATATTTCAAGACAAAATAGCCTTCCGCATTGTGGGTAGCCAAAAAGTACTAACCACCCTCATGAGTCTGTCAGCGTTCAAGTTTCCACAGTCCATTGTCAACCTTCCATATCCGTATCTGCTAACCCTAACCCTGCATCTTTCCGTCAATATTCCTACATCACCTTTAATTTCTTCCAGTCCTCCATCTCTTGATAACGATTTGATTTCACTGAACAGCATCTCTGGATATCTTCTAAAGCTTGAATATTTGCACTAACCTTTATCTCCAGATTGTTTATTCTCTTACACTACTTTATCTTCTTTGATATCACTCTTTTTCTAGCCACCTGTTCTTTACGTACTACTGTAAAGTGTGGTAACTTGAACCGAAGTACCTGTATGTGACGTTCAACCTTGATTTTGTCAGTCAGTCAATATTCCGACATCATCCTTAATTTCTTATAGACCTGTATCTTGGGTCTCCTGAAACCATGCTCCAAACTACACATTGGAACCTTCAGTGTTCACATCCTCCGTCAAATTGATTAACAAGCTTCACTATCCAAAATTCTGGCATATCGGACCATAGATATATGGTGCATTTGTGAGACACCCATACAGAAGCAGTATCTGGTTATCCACTTAGCCTTTCCCGGCCAATATGATGAATATGGGAAATACACCCTTGGTGTTTGTGGAGATTCGATGGCTAGTTCTCTCCGTATCGCACGTTAAGGTATGGCACTAAGTGTTAAAGAAGAAAGTGCACTGATCGACCGCATCTCAGTTGAATCACTTGTTTGCAGTTCGACACAATGAAGACTAAAAACAACAATGAAAATCATCGTTGTCTCTGACTGACTACAGCTCAGATGAAGTGAAGGATGAGTTCCACCGACTGAGAGCTAAACGTTCAAGTGGTGGTTGCCGTAGCGTGTAATTTCAATTGACAAATGGGTAGGCAAAGTCAAACAGGAAAGCGCTTAGAATCCCGGCTGAAACATCACAACTGTCCTCAAACAGCTATCTATTTCTGACCAGCACAAAATTTTGACACTGGGAGAAGCATTGTCCAGTTATCGCTGAATGAAAGGTACCTCTTCGTAAAATGACATTCGAACCCATATCACAGGTACTGAGAGTGCTCACTTCAAATAATATTCATAAGGTGATCACTGATTGTTTTTTTACTTCTAAATTTAATCTCCAGATTGCCAAATTATTTTGTCTCATTTGTCTTACTGTTTCAAGTAAAATTGTCTCAGTGCACTGATAATTGAATGTCACTGTAAGCAAAACATCTGTAGAAGGTTTTTGACACTTGTTTTGGGGTGAACTACTTGGATTTTCGAGTTGTATTTGACCAGGAAATTATCTGACTGACTTTCTTGTTGGTCAAAATTGGTTTACTAAACCGCCGTTTTGACCCATCATGCATGTTAAAATTACACCAATACCAAATAATCAAAGAAGGCTATTTAAAATAATAAATGGGTGTTTTATTTTCACAGCAATGCAAAAATTGAGTGTATCTGCCTATTACTACTCACGCTGAACCATGTTAACTAAGGTCTCTAGCACGTTTACAAATCTTCAGACCGTTTTTTCCTGTGCATATGTGTGCTATCGGTTCTGTACAACTTTCGTCATTGCACCGTTACTCAAGGTGTATCAATATTGACCCAGCTACCTAGAGTAAGGTTGCTGAGTACTTTTTGATTTTTATCTGCACTTAATCAGTCTTTTGATATTCGGTATCGAACTACTAATGAGTAGGTAGGCGTTTTGTTTCAATGTTTTGTACCACATATTTCGCCACGCCCCTGTGTAAAACAATACTCCCCCTAAAAAGATTTTTTAGCATATGAAATGAGATTTTAGTCATTCAGTATTTCTAGAACTTGACAAAATACGAAATGTTTCCACTTTTGGATTTGTCTCTTTTCTATAGGGCTGCTGCGATGTCATTACGTACTATTCTTTTGTCTATACAAGCGTTATTAGCTTCTCCAGAACCAGACGACCCGCAAGATGCAGTGGTCGCTAATCAGTACAAAACAAGCATAGAAGCTTTTAATCGTACTGCGCGGCATTGGGCAGCAATTTACGCCAATGGACCTGGATGTGATCCTCAGTGTGTTGATTTGGTAGGCAAACTTGTCCAAATGGGCTTCGATGAGGTAAGATTTTTATTTCAAAAATGATGCTAACAATGAATTTATAGCCCTCTATATGTTTTTACAAAGATTCCTTATTGATCCGTGCTGACTGCCTACGTATCATTTCTTTAGGGTCGATCTATCCACTTGTAGGGTGTTTACACCTTACCACTTTTGATTGAAACAGCTAGTTTCTAGTCATCGATTGCACTGAAACACTGAATAAATTTGGCGTAGAGAAACAGCATTGAGTTGTATTATCCATTATTTATTGGAGTTTTTCGATTGAGACTATCCATATAACTATGACACAGTAGTTGTTATCAGCAATAATGCAGATTATTTCCGTGACTTTTAATATTTTCGTATATATTTGTTCTATTGCACTTTGTTTTTCTACACGCATGATTGAAGTTTGTGGTATAAATCACTGAAATCAATTTAAATTTTTAATAATTCATGGATCCCTATAGATTATTCAGAACAAGAATGATAACGTGTTATTGCTTGTACTATACCGTCGTTGGTTGGACCGAGTTAATTGGTCTCTAGTGGCATATGGGCTCCTGCGCGGATGCCTCGATATTACCTTTGTTATAACTATATATTATATTGTCCCACATATTTTTATACTATAATTAATATATACCCATCGCATAGGAAGTGGCTGTCGTGGCTCGGTGGTCTAATAGATAAGAACCTGGTGTTGGGAGTGGTCGACCTGGGTTCGAATCCCGGTGAGAACAACCATCACTGGAGTGCAGATATACCCAGGTGATGAGTCCCAAATAAAACGGAACGTGCGTCCTGGATTCCACTGATAGCCACTATCCGTCATTAGGAATAATAATGGTTGGACATGTTAAGTGGGACACATTTTTGGAAGCACGTATGAACTGGTCAAATACCTGAGTTACAAAATAAGAAATAAATGTTCTGATTATTGTATTGAAAAAGAAATGAATAAGCTGAAGATAACATTACAGGAAGATGGTTATCCGCTAAACTTCATAAATAAACACATGTTGAAACCCAAAGACAAGATCAGTCAAAATGACGTTTGCTGGAGAGAAACTTTTTGTCAGCTTCTCAACCAAACCAATACTGATACAGCTAACCAAGGATAGGTTACCAATGATGATCATTTCAATGTACAGTTATGAGTTCAACTACTCCTATGGAACTAGTTACATAGGTCGTACTCAAAGGACTGTATCCATGTGCGCTCGTGAACATGTACCAGCTTGGTTAAGGAAAGTATGACAGAGGGTCAACGTAGATCACCCCTTTTATGTGCACGACTACGTATCTTATACATAGACGAAGCCATATGTATCAACTCAAATAAACCTGATCTATGTGTTCATAAAAAAAGGTAAAACCAGTTTGTCTACCTTGGACCATAATATAGTCAACACGTTCTTTATGAACTTTCCTACCTCAATTTTCGAATTTTAACCCCGCACCCCTTTCTTCCTCATTGTTATTACATTGATATACACGTAGTGGGTGCTACTGATAAGAATGGATATAAGTAGTATACGTTGAGAAGTTGGCAGAAATCATAGGCAATCGCCAGCGATGGGTAAATATTCCGCCTGGAGAAACGCAAGAGAATGTGGGCGTACTGAGAGCGAATCGAGATAAGGACAGAAGAAGAAATGAAGCACCTTGTGCAAATGACTGTTTTAGTAGAAAGTGTACAATATTTCATCACTACCGTACAATATGTCATTATAAACATTCCTTCATGCATCTCAGTCTTGTCGTTTCTTACAATTGGTATCGCTGCCAGGATCCCACCAGCTCCATGACCGACTCGAAATCCCTGAGGAAAACTTTGATGTCTCCATCCTTGACCATTGCAGGTCACGGAATCTTCATCACGTCCAGAAGCAGTGACACCAATTGTAAGGAACGACAAGACTTAGATTCAGAAAGCAATATTTATTATGACACCTTATACAGTAGTGATGAAATATTGTACACTTTCTACTAAAACAGTCATTTGCACAATGTGCTTCATTTCCTCTCCTGCTTCTACCTCGATTTGCTCTGAATCCACCTACATTGTCTCTTACGTTTCTCCAGGCGGAATATTTACCCATCGCTGGTAATTGCCTATGATTTCTGTCGCCCTCTCAACATATACTATTTATATCCATTCTTATCAGTTGCACCAACTACAAACATTCATTTTCTTAGGTTATTTGTTTTATGAGCTTGTTTATTCATATCACTACCGGCCGCGATCCAAATTTTCATTTCACCTTCAATCATCACCCAATATCAATACTAGTTTTCTAAACCACGGCTATTTCAGATGGCCAAAATGCTAATCAGTATGATGCTTCTCTTCTCTACTTCAGTAAGATTTGGATTGGGATAAGAAGTCCTGAATGTGAATACGATCAAGAGGCAGTAACGCGTTACGGATTCACATGATAGTCGGGCAAAACCCATGGTGATTGAAGTGAAATAAAAATCTGGTCAGCAAGCAGTCAGACCTCGTAGCTTAATTGTTAGGTCATTGGACCGAAAACCTGGTGGTCGCTGGTTCGAATCCGGCTGTGGTTTAGATTCTCATTTCACCTTCAACCATCACCTAGTATAGACTAACAGTTTGTTTCCAAACACCTTATATTCGTAGAAGGTGTCAGTTTTCCCCTCCAACACTTGAGTTAAGTCATCTTGTGGATTTATCCTGTCATATCATACCTCCTTTTCCTCAAAGTAAAAACCTGTAATTGGGTGCCTAGCAGTATTTATTTAACCCTCTCCACTCCCGTCCAATTTAATATAGTTGTGTGGTTTTTTACTGTTTAGTTATGCAGTTTTGGGGGGACGGGGGTTTTCATTTTTTAACAGTCTGTGATGAATACCCACCTTGAAGCAGATAAAATCCGCAGAAACAAACTACATTACTGTATAGTGCTCACTAGTGTGACACTCTTCGAGATAGATGTCCTGAAGTTCTAATGAAGAGGAGACCTGTGATTTGTGTGGTCGATCAGTCAAAAGTAAAGTGGATGCCAACTGAAGACCTTAGTAAACAGACGTACTATACCATATCACAAATCGACAACTTGGAAGCTGTGGACCATCGAACTGCAACCCAGTGGCGGAGTGATTCACGTGTTCACCGTGAAACTTTCGGGTCATAAGTTCGGCCAGTGGTTTGGCTGTGAGTAAGTACCACAGAGGAATCTCGTACTAGATATAATAATATATCTACTATAACTATCCTCATTAGGTTCGTTCCCTGTTTTTTTGTCCTCTCCTCTCACTTTTAGCACGAGGCTTGCCGAGCATTGTCTATGAAGAATTGGGATATAGCTATGGCAACAGAACACTTGATCAAGTGAATTGATGAATTACTTAGTATATATACTGTATAAGTAAATGTTCTTTGATAGTTTTATGCCCAGACAATGCATGTGTGTACTTCGTAATTTAATCTTACTTTTTTTTTCTCAATTTTACTCCCTTTATTTTTCTGTTTGCACATAAATTTAAAAATCTGAATTGCAAATAACACACTGAGAAGATTGATTTTTTTCTCCCCCATATGTATATGTATTCTTTTTTTCATCGACTTTTTGTCACCTCTATTTTCTTCTTTGCCTCGTCTCACCGCTGAGTTTTCGATATCACTAAAAAAATTTTATTGTTGTGGCTGGTGCTATTTATGTTTTATGGTAATTTTAGTGATGAATACAATCGGTTTGCTTTTATCTTCTCTATTTCTGAGCTATGTACACTACCATTATTATTATTATTATTATTATTATTATTATTATTATTATTATTATTATTATTATTATACTACTTTGATGATTTCGTAAATAGGGATAACACTGTTTTGTTTTCAATGTTCAACATACACTGTATGCCGACACTAATAATTGTCACTTATCTCTTGTGTTTTTGTAAGCTGTACACTTTGTACTGTAAACGCATGGGAGTGGAGGGTGGCACTGAGTGAACCATTTTCTCTTTTTGTATGACTTTTCACAGATGAAAAAGAGTGTCTATGTGTTAAATGTATAATTTCCCAAAGGAATGCTGTGCATCAATGGAGATTTTTAGTGATTTTTTCGCCCCCACCTCTTACTTTCGCCAATTATCTCCATTCTATCGATTAGCATACGAGGGATTTTTCAGTATGATAAACATTCCTCTGCTTTCATGGGTTTTTTTTGTTTTAACTCATGAGCAATGTTGAAATTATTGATGTTTATCAAAACTTCTGAAGCTTTAGTTTATTGTATTTATGAATGAGTGCTTCAGTGTGTTATAAAGAAATGACGGATAGTCAGGCAGATAAAATCAACGTCGAACCTTGCACACAAATGCATCAGCTCAATCTGTCACACTTCACAGTAGTATACAAAGAACAGGTGGATAGAAGAAGAGGGATTTCAAAGTAGATCAAGTTGTGTGAGAGAATAAACAATTTGAAGGCAAAAGTTAGTGGAGATATTCACGATTTAGAAGACGTCGAAAAACAACATAAAATCAGTTATCGTCAGCTGATTGGTTTGTATGTCTTCCTCGTTGAAGCGAATCCATTCTTCAGTTTTTAGCGTTATACTTCCGGATGGGCTAGTTGATAATGGAACTCAGAGTACTCGTTTGATTAAATGTTACGTCTACCAGGCATATGCAATCAAAATTAGCGTACTCACTCAGCTTCATGTATAGAGATATATACATCTAGTATGATATCTAGTAATTGACTAACCGTAGCCATTTTATGTATCGAAACTCATTCCACAACCTTGCACAGTGAGCCACACATGTATTGTGTGAGTGCTGCTCATACAACCTGGATACTCAAATCTCAATAGCTGGGGCGAGGTGTTCATACTTATGATCCACTCATTGCAAGTCAACTGCCTAAACCAGTGACCCAGTCATCCCTCATGTGATTAATACAAGAATATATTTGCCTTTACAGCTTCAGACATTTTTCATCACTGACTAATGTCATCTGAGTAACTATTAGAAAATTAGGAGTACTGCATAGCTGTTTCATCGTAGTTTAGGACTTCCTAGGTGGTCGTTGGTGAAGACAGAAATAACACAGTAACATATGGAATAAAGTAGTTTAAGTTCTAATCCTCCAGTAGTAAAGGTGTGTAACCCTCAACGCCATTGGTTGGTTATGCTATATATATCAGAGTATGCAAGAAGCCAACCAATGGGATTCAATTCAATAGCTGAGTCAAAGCGTGGCTAGCATGGACTCGGTTCCTCATGGGGTCCTCAGTGTACGCTCACTCCTGAACATCCACCAGTTAGAATGGAGCAGATGTTCAATACTTGCAGTTTTCGAAAGTTTGCCTAGCTAACAGCAATCTGTGACGAGAACTAAATTTAGTCGAAAGCTAGGGTTTATTATGAAATAAACGAGGAATTTCTTCGAATGTATGTCGTGAAAATGAATAATTTTAAATTAACTTAGCTACAGTCGTCTTTCTACAAAAAAAAACTGATTTCATGGTATCGGTTTCTTTTCTTTATCAGCAATCAGCCAGAAACTAATGAATCTAACTTTACGGGCTGTTATTACTTACTAATGCGTAGGCCAAACCCGCAAGCCTCAAAAAGCTCACAAATTTTGAACCTTTATCTTTCAATACGGCGGTTGGGGACATGTACTGAATCTTACAGATTACAGAAAGACAGGTGGACAGAATCAACGTTGCACACAATTGCATCGGTTCGAGTTACCACGATCCACAGAATTATACAAAGAACAAGTGGGTAGAGAAGACTGATATCAAAGCAAACAAGGATGTATTGGAGAAGAGGGAATTTAAAAACTAAGGTTCGTCAAAACATTGAAGCTTTAGAAGACATCAGTGAGTGAAGTCATCTGTGCCGCTTTGACCAGTTTTCGGGCATGTCGCCAAGGGTCTCTAAGCCCTGATTTCTATGGTCTTGGGGACCACAGCCAAGTAGCCTACATCTCCATTTATCGCACAGACCAACAGTCAGAGACTTCGTAGAGTTTGGCCATCGTGAACCGTCTTCTAATTTCCCCTTGGATTGCACGTCAAGGTAAGTGTTGTCTCGGCATGCACAGCACTAGTCCAAGTCGATGAAGGTTCACAACGTCATCGACTGTCTTGCCTAGTACTCTTCGCCTGACCTCAACACTCCTCACATAATAATTCCACCAAACGCGAACAATGCTACCAAGACATCTGTCGTCAAAAACCGATAGTCTCTTTATATCTTCTCATTTCAATAGCCATGTCTCAGTCGTGTAACGATACCAGTGCAGAATATTTTTCCTTTGACAGATAGTCACTTATCTCGTTCATCGATGCCACTGATGACGGAATTAGGCAAATGCGTAGTTGGTCTTCCATATTTGATCTCAGATTTGGTAGAAGACCAATTACTAGTAAACATGAAATGTAGATCCGAGATTGTCCTGCCAAGTGTTTTCTGTTTCTCAATGACACACTAATCATCAGTGATAACAGTAATACTAACCAATATCTGCTCATCCATTCGTCTATCTGTCGGTATATACATGCTATTAAATAACTTAAAAACAAAATGAAATGTACACCCTGTTTGTCAATTAGATGTTTATAATTATACAGGAAACCTTTAGTTACGATGAGATCTCATCGGTTGTAAAAACCAGTGAAATATCAGCCTATTAAATTGTAATCTAACTCTTTAATCATTGAAGAGATGCTTTATTAAATGGTGTGTTCAGCACTTATCACGTGTCATTTACTTTTCTAGTTTTTACTTTTTTTCAGTCAGATAGATGAACGATATGATAGAAATATTATATTTAGTTAAATACCCGCCTTTGATTGTTTTACTAGGCTTGTCAAAACTACATTGGTAGCTCCACAGAATTGGATACAGAACTGATCAAGTTGGTTGCAAGCATATTTATCTACATTGAAGCGGGTAAATTTGTCATATGGAAGGAAGGTTAAGGTTAATTTAATATGAACTTAAGTTTCAGGTGAAAACTAGTGATTCTAGTAGATAACTTAAACGGGAATTAAATTTTTAAAATACAATATAGTTGTATATATATATATATATATATATATATATATATATATAGTATTGATTTGAACAGAAGTAATGAAATTTTCGATTTTTTGCACAAACTAGTAAGTATTGATCGATTTAAATCTGTTATATGACTAGTAGAAGCCACAGAAGTAATCGATATTTACAGAATACTAACAACACAATAATAAAAGACGATTATTTTGTTTTTATCAAAGGCTCATTTGAGTAGATGTAGAGTTTCTTTGAAATAATCAAAAAAATGAAATATTGCGTAAAAATTAATCAAAATGTTTATTATAATTTGGTGATCGTTAGGGGAATTCGAAGAATGTATTTATTCCCTTCATTATGAGGAGCTGTAACTTGATTCGAGATTTGAGTTAGTTATCGGTAGATACCACCTCTAAAACGGCTATTTGTTGGTTCAAATATGAAATTTGTTAATAGCATATCGTATATTTTGCCCTTGACAGCGTCGACCAACAAGTAATTTGGCAGTTGCTTCAACACTACGGAATACCACAAACCTTTATCAACCTCATTCAGCAGCTATATGTTATATGAGGCTACATGTCAAGTGATTCACAATCGAAAGCTCAGTGATGCTTTTGAAGTGAAGGCAGGAGTGAAACAAGCCTGTCTACTATCACCCATGATCTTCCTGGTTGAGGGGTGGACTGGATCATGCAACAAACAGTGAGGAGCGAGAAGAGGGGAAACGCTGGACCGGGGAAAAGAACCTAGAAGATCTGGATTTCGCCGATGATGACTTGTGTCTGATGTCACACAAACTTGAAGATCTACAGGCGAAAAGTAACAAGTTGGCAGAAGAGGCAGGGCAGCGAAGACGGGACTTCAGGTGAATATAGAGAAAAGAGAAGTGATGAAGATACCACCACAACAACAACAAACTCCAATCACTATCAACGGGAGAAACTTAAAGGAAGTAGCCTCTTTCACTTATCTAGACAGCACTGTTTCAACTGCAGGTGGCGGCACAGACGAGGACGTCCAAGCCAGTATCGGCAAAGCAAGACAGGCGTTCATTAACCTGAAACCAGTGTGGAGATCTTCTGCACTCAGCATATAGAACAAGATCCAGATTTTCAACACCAACGTCAAGTCAGTGCTTCTATATGGTTCAGAAACTTGGTGCGTCACAACTGCCTACGCTCACTCATCACTGAAGCTCAGATGGCCAGAATAATAAGAATAAGCAACAAGGAACTCACTCTGGCTGGCTGGAAACGAACCAACCAAGAACCTAACAATCAACAAATATGCAGAAGGAAGTGGAGATGGATTGGGCATGCACTGAGAAGGCCGACTGGGGACATCACGCGCCAGGCCAGGCCCTTGAGTGGAACCAAGATGGGAATCGACGAGTTGGGCGTCCTTGGTGAGGGTGACATGGAGGAGATTATGTGAGGAAGAAATGAGAGCTTGTGGGCTGTCGTGGAGTCAGGTTCAAAAGATTGCAGAGAACAGAGTTCACTGGAGAGGTGCAACTGTAGCCCTATGTTCCACTAGGAACCGAAGGGACAAATAATAAATAATAATATCGTATATTTTTTTAATCATAAATTTTTCCCATCTCTTCTGTATTTTTTGAGGGGATGAAAAATATCTGGCTTTATCTCCTCTAAGTTTATACATTTAAGCATGAGCTACATTGAAAGAGTGAGCGCTAATAATCCTGCCTTATTGGCATTGATGGGGTGGTGTGGGACACATAATCTTAAGTTGTACAGTTGAACGTCTAGACCAT